CACGGGAGATTTATTAGCCACGGGTCAGATCAAATACTATATCCCCAGTCTGCTCTTGTTTAGAATGACTTAGCTCTATTGATTAGACTCACCCGCGAGGCCTGGTCGGACATGGGCTGAACTCACAGGAAACTGAGCTAAATTGCCAAACCAAAACATATCATGCTTTGATAATTCAATGAGATGTTCTTCATCTATCATACAGTGAACGGCTATACAGCGATTCTGGAAAGCTGGATCTTAAAGATGTCTCAGAGGAATTGTTTAGCAAAAAAGGGAAGAAATTCTGGCATAACTTTTACTTTCAGACTGTGATCAAACAGCTCATTTGCATACAAAAATGTAAGTCAGTCAAGCTCCAAAGGACCCATTAAAACCATAATAGAACTTTAAAAGTGGTCAATTTTAAGTGTTTTTTACAGGTCAAAATTTAAAATAATCATGAAAAAGAAAAAGAATGACATGATGAGTGTAAGTAAATGCTGACAGAAGTTTTTGGGGGTGAACTATCCTGTTAACTATCCCGCAAAATAAGAGATATAAATAAGCTACATTAAATTATGGATAAGTTAAAGTAATTCATTTAACTAATTAATTCAATCAAATAAATAAATAAATAATACATCTAAAGTAGTAGTGAGTAAAAAAACGTAGCCCATTACTTAATAGAAATTTAATATTTTCCAAATAATAATATTTTCAATTGGTGTAGTGTATAGTATACCAGTTTACAGTGCCGCTGCTAGCCATTTTGGTGCCCTAAGCATAATTCCTTTATGATGCCCCCCCGCCCCCCCCTAAAAAAAAAAAAAAACATTTTAATTTAGGATTTTCATTTAGGGGGGCTAAGCCCCCAATGAGGGTATGATTTATAAAAAAAATGCAAAAATTAAAAAGTAACACTTTAGTTTAGGGTCTAATGCTTACTATTAACTAGTTTCATTACCATGCAATGGCATGGTTTTATAATCACTGGGGTTCCGAATTTGAGGCAGGTTAGTTAGGGGTGTTCGGGGGAAATTTTGGATTTTTCTGAACTACAGATGTGCATTTTAAGATGTTGTGAAGGCAAAAAAAAAAAAAAAATATATATCGATAACAACAGCTTTAAAACCATGTCAGTGGGCAGCTGATTATTTTTCTCTCCTCATCAGCATCACACTCTTTTTCTCTTTGTTTTTATCTTGCCCTGTCTCTTCCCCTCCTAAAGTTGGCTTTTTTTAATTTTCTAAAGGTTACAATTTGTATTTTATTCTCAATATGTACACATTCATTATTAATCTTGTGGCTAACATGATGAAAACGGCTTTGTTCATGTTTCTTGTCCCCTCACAATGACAATAGCCTAAACTATTACACTAGGCTACATGTTACATAGGCCTATTTTCAGTTCAAAATAGCGAAATTAGACAAAACTATATTAGTTTGCCTAATTATTTTTTGTCATTCGTTTAACATTTATGACCTAAAAAAAACTGTCAAATAAAGTTAAGTTTAGCTACTTACATCTTATCTCGCACTTGACCGTACACTGAAGCGTCGAGTTGCACTGTTAAAATTCGCGCTCAGCGTCTGTGAACATAAAGCCCGCCTACTTTGATTTGATTGGTCATCTCAAATATTCTGACATTGACGAGCAGTGACAGACCAATGAGGCTCAGATGAACAAACACATGACACACACACACACACACACCCTGTCCTGTGTTTCTGACGTGCTCTCTGTCTCTGCTCGGCGCCGCTGCGGAATGAAGAGGAAGAACGCGCTGAATCTGATTATAACAAGAAGTTTGATGATTGGTTTTTCATTAGGCTATTTTTGGTGCCCCCTCAGCACTTGGTGCCCTACGCACAGCGCGTGATGCGCGTGGTGGGAGCGGCGGCGCTGCCAGTTTACATTAGTATAAATTCGGTCTTAATGCATGAAATTATATAGATGCCTTTTAATTTGCATGAGGATGATAATATTTGGGGTCCATAGCATTTTAAAAGATTAAGAATCCCTTTCAGGCGCAAGGTAAATCATTTTGACTACTAGTTTGAACAGTAATTTGTTTAATGTTATGAATTGTCCGACGATATAGTTTGGTATGACATCAAACGGATGTACATTTCCACTTAACCTCCACGAGGTCGATCACGTGCAGCCTTTAAATTTATGTTGAGCTCCTGCAGCTATTTCCTGTTACATTACCCTGAAATAACACTGAAGCTTCGCAGTGGTGCCGTCGACAAGCAAAAGCATTGCAAGAAACCAAAACATTAACATTTAACCCTCTGGTTATCTTTGGGGTCTTTTTAACCCGCAAATGACTTTTGGTCAAATTAAAAAAAAAAATCTCTTTGTCCAAATGGTATGAAACTTTCTACAGCTCTTAACACTTCATAGATCTACAAAAGAAAAGAAAAATTGGAATGATATCTGTTATTATGTTGCCGTGAAAAAAATAGTCACACTTGTTGTCTTCGGGGTCCCTGGAGACCCCGCATAGTAAATATATAATATTCATCATCAAAATCAGAAACAACGCAGATCACATGGACAGAAATGAAATGGCACACTTCCAACAATGTAAAAAACATCCACAATGCAAAATTATCATGCTCGCCACACACACACACACACACAACCACACATACACATACACACAGAAATACATTTGTAAGGCTATAAAAAAAGTCTTATAATTTGTCAAATAAAATGCAGAACCACCACAAATATAAATTGGTGACACTGACACAACGAAAATACACACACACACACACACAGAATGTGTGTCTGCAGAAGTCATGCAACGTACTACGCATACTGCCTGCAGTGCACTGACTCGTGAACACCTCCAGTGCACCCACCAATTGTTGTTCTTATTTGTTCAAAAAACAAAAATTTCCCAATCAGTTTTTTTAACAAAATAATTTTTATATTACAACCATTTTATTTTTTTACTGCTTTATTTGATCATTTGTTATTGCTGTTCAGTTCATTGCACTTTTGTTTTGTTTTTCTCAATATGTAATATAACTGTTCATTTCTGTTATTTTTTGTTCTGTTACAGTTTGTAACTGAAACGTTGATTAAAAATGATAGAATTATATTAAAAACAGATAATTGAAATTAATGATAAAATCTAAAGACTCCAAGATTTTTTGTAACATCTTGTTCAGGTTTGATTCTAATCATAAAGTAACATTATTGAAGAACTTTTTTCAATACAAAATATGCTAAACTTAATACAAAATATGCTAAACTTTGACCAAAAGTATATAATTCTTTTTTACAATTTTGATTTTAAAATATTTATATATGAATCCAACTCAATCCAACTGAATCCAACTTGTGAAAAGATGTATTTTGGTTAATCAAACAGCAAATAGCATATAATGGAGCTCTATAGCAATATAGTGGTTAAAGTGAATTTTTTTATTTTAAAACTTCATTTTCCAAAAAAAGGGCAAAAATCTTACATTAAATCATGTACAATTATCCATGTTATCCCCATAAATGAAAGTTAGAAATCTGGGTCCTTTATAAAGTGAATTTTACATAAAATGCTGTTTTTTGTAAAAAAAACTATTTATTTAAATATTTATTTATTTATTTTTAGAAATTTAAAAAATATCAAAAATCCTCCAAAAACTGCACAAATGTTGAGTAAAAACATTAATAAACAGAGTAAAATTACATTTGTAAAAAAAAATTTATTATACTGTTACAAAATGCAATGTTATTGTCTGGGGTCCCTGGAGACCCCAAAGATAACAAGTGTAGACCCTAAATGAAGACAATCAGAGGGTTAAATACATCACTGAGTAGACATATTCTGTATTATGACATTTAGACAATGTAATCACTCCATAAGTACAATAGGAAAACGGTTCTGACAAGCTAAGATCACTATCAACCATTATTTGGACACAGTTCATTTCAGAAAAGCACACACACACACGTTGTGTTTTCATGTTTTGTGGGAACTTTCCATAGACATAATGGTTTTTATACTGTACAAACTGTATTTTCTATCCCCTAACACTAACCCTACCCATCATAGAAAACTATCTGATGATTTTTACATTTTCCAAAAAAAAAACTTTGTATGATTTATAAGCTGTTTTCCTCATGGGGACCCAAAAATGTACCCATAAGGACAAGGATTTCGGATATTGCCATCTTTGTAGGGACATTTTGTCTCCATAACATGGAATACCTGAACCACACACACACACACACACTGAGCTACGAATACAGACACTTTTCTACAGTTACTGACCTGCAGTGACACAGACGGACAGTCAAAGCCATGCAGTCTCCAGACTTTTGTTAGTATGGTGATGAATAGCCTAGTCACAACAAGAGATTAGACAGGCTAGTTAAGTTGTCACTGGTGTAAAATCATATCAATAATAAATGAATAGGATCTCCCTCAAGCAAAAACGTTTTCTAAATATTTTTTTTGTCATATTTTTGATGACAGTAGTTTTCAACAGATTAATAAAGCAGCTTTATTGCAGAGTAGGCCTATACTATTTTAACATAAGCTATAGCTAGTCACCATACAGTGATAGAAACAATTAAGGCATTTGCGAATTCTGCATGGGGAAGATCTTGAACTCCATCGAAAAATCGCCGGAAAAGGATAATTATAAATGTTTACTATATTACTTAAACCATTATTTGAAGGAAAATGTATTTATATTTCCTATTATCATTAATGGTGTTGTTGTTGCGGCGTCATGTCAAAGAAAACCCCTCACCCTTGAAAATCACTGTAAAACCCAATGTAACTATTACAGAGTTTTATAAAACTATAACGTCTTTAAAGATTTTTCAGATATTTATTTATACAGCTATGTCGTTATTATGTGTTTTTTAAATTATTTTTTTCTTCATTTATTTAAATGCCAGTCACATTACAAACAATAAACATGTCTAATCGTTATTATTTGTTGTCCCTGCGTTGCGTAGCAGCTGCGCACAACGGATGTCCTCGAGCACATTTCCGCAATGAATCCTGGGAGGAACTGCGTGTTTGGCGGAATATTTGAACAAATTATACAAATCATCAATCAATCCAGGCTCACGATGGGAACGAAAAGCAGAAATAATATAACACCAATTCGATGAAATACTGCGCTGTGTACATTCCGAGTAATCCATCAACATGGATGGCAGACGCAGTCAGGATTCACAAAGCGAGCGAACTGACATCGCCAAACTGACGCAGATGAAGTCGAAAGTAAACAGATTGAAACGGAGCCCGAAAGCAGCGACACTGAATCCCGGGCAGATCCGTAACACAGGTAAGTTACCAAAAGACCCGAAAAACACTCATTATTCTGCTTTTCTGTGCTTTATGTCGCATCTAACTCATGTGTGAAAGCACCAGCCTTTTCTACGAATGTTATATTGTTTATTCCCGTAGCCATTCCTGTTGTGTACTTTCGTAATTTTTTATTTGCGTTGTAATTAATAAACATTTTAATGAAATAGTGGACCAAACTTTGAGCAAAATGCTCTGGTCAAGTGGAGACCTCAACTTGATGATTTACTTTTTTTTTTAAATTGAATAGTGTTATGAAATTTTGTCAAACAGGCCTATAGGATGTAGGCATGAAACATGTAAGATTAACATAGTTAGGAAAGTCCCACATATAAAATCACTATGAAGTTTCACACGTTTCTTTACTAAAGCATGTGTTTTTGAAATGCCTGTGTTTTATAGCGGAGTTCAAAACACCTACACGTCCAGCAAGAGGCCAGTTCAGAAGACTGATACCTGACGACTCCCCCAGCAATGATCCTGACTCTCATCAAGATATTATATGGGATACGACATCTCCATCACCCATTCGACATGGTAATAAATGTCTATTGGAATTGTGCATTTTGAAATTCCTCTTTAAACATGCAGTATGACAGAAGTGTATTTATTTTCAGGTCATGGACAAAGGAGAACTGCAAATGTCAGAGCGGTGGATATATCGGACATTGCCAATCGGATCGCTCCAAAGGTTTGCTCGAGGAGCGTGAACTACTACAGTGCTTGTGTTTTCAGTTCAAAATATCAAAGTGTGTGTGTTGTCATTTCTTTGATTATAGAATGGAAGACTAGAAGAAGTGGACTCATCTTTACTGCAGTGGATTGGAGACAGTGCCATTCCCTGCACGCCGGAAGTACGACAACCCAAAGCCAAGCCTGTGTCGACAAAGTAAGCCACTGTTCTGTAGGAGGGGGAATCTTTAGGCTAACAATTGTATGTTAAGTAATTTTCAGTAAACTAAATGTAGCTTCAAAACAAGCAAATAGTCAGCAATAAAATCAAAGAACGCATGACAAGCAATAAACCAAATGTGTTTTCAGTATCTAAAGCCGGGTTCACACTGTATGATTTTGGCCGTCTTAGACAGATGTTGAGAAACCTGTGTTCGCCAACAGCCGATTAAAGGATTAGTTCACTTTTTAAAAAACTTTTGCTGATAATTTACTCACCCCCATGTCATCCAAGATGTCCATGTCTTTCTTTCTTCAGTCGAAAAGAAATGAATGTTTTTGATGAAAACATTCCAGGATTTTTCTCCATATAATGGACTTCAATGGTAGCCAAACGGTTCAAGGTCTAAATGACCGTTTCAGTTCAGCTTCAAAGGGCTTTAAACGATACCAGACGATGAATAAGGGTCTTATCTAGCGAAACGATCGGTCATTTCAAAAATAAATAAAAAAGTTAAAGTTTTATAAGCTCAAATGCTCGCCTTGCGAACTCTCCTGTTCGAACTCGTTCATCAAAATGAACGAATCTTTTTTCGAGTCATTGACTCGTTCATCAAAATGAACGAATCTTTTTTCGAGTCATTGACTCTAAAAAAGATTCGTTCATTTTGATGAACGAGTTCGAACAGGAGAGTTCGCAAGGCGAGCATTTGAGCTTATGAAACTTTAACTTTTTTTATTTATTTTTGAAATGACCGATCGTTTCGCTAGATAAGACCCTTATTCATCGTCTGGTATCGTTTAAAGCCCTTTGAAGCTGAACTGAAACGGTCATTTAGACCTTGAACCGTTTGGTGCCCAGCAAAGTGCATTATATGGAGAAAAATCCTGGAATTAATTTCTTTTCGACTGAAGAAAGAAAGACATGGACATCTTGGATGACATGGGGGTGAGTAAATTATCAGCAAAAGTTTTTTTAAAAGTGAACTAATCCTTTAATGACCGGTGCGATCAAATTCGGACACATAGTCCTGCAGTGTGACTTCTCCTACGACAACCGTCAAATCAAAAACCAATATAAGTGCAGGACCTGATTACACAACAAGTGAGAGAGCAACAAACCACTAGCTCCACACTCATCGTCTTCGTTTTTTTTTCTTCTCATTTTTCTTTTCAAGAGAATCCATGATCAAATTTAACTCTAGAGATTGTTTTTGTTTGCTAGCCACCATTTCAATCCCGCATTTATATTTATTTAGCTCACATCACTTAACTTTTCACGGATTGATGATGTAAAACTCTGGACGAGTCTTCTTGCGTGTGTCTTAGGGGTGTCACGATTCTCCAAATCTTCGATTCGATTGAATTTTCGATTCTAAGGTCACGGTTCGGTTCGATTCTCGATTTTTACATTATTATTTTTTTTAAAAGCACAGGTTGCTATGCCATTTTTAGAATATACTTTTATGCAATATAATATCTGACCTTTGTTCGCAATGTACCACACTACATTGTCAAATTTAAAACATTTATTAACAACAAAGTGCTTATAATAATATAATACCTTATATCTTTAGTCAATTGGAAACTTAAGCAAAATAACCTGCCATACGCAGATTATAAAATCAAATCAGTCATTTTAAACTGTCTGCGAAATGCAATTTCACAAACAGCGTGGGTGTTCAGCAGTGCCGCGTCTTCTCTCTCTCTCTGTCTCTCAAAATGGGTTGCACAAGGCGATCGTCAAGCGCGCTGCTCTCACGTTTCGGGAGTCGTGACATGACGGAATTGTCACTTGCATAATCGGGTCAGCATTGCATCGTGAGTAACTAAAGTTTACCATTTGCACATCTTTTTAAGTCTTACCAGTTTGAACATTCAAGCAATTTTAAACTATTCAGTACTCGCACGCTCTCTGAGAGATGGTTTTCTTTGCACACATCTGCCTGTTTGCGAGGCCTCGCAAACAGGCAGATGACGACATTCAAGTTCACAAAACAAACAAACAGTTGTTGATTTAACCAATAAATCTATGTTTTTGTGGAGATGCCCTGCCATGTTAGTCGTGCTGCCAGTGGAATAATATGGTACACGCACATAGCAGAGCTTGCAAACTGTGGCTTTTTTGAAGCGCGAACGTTGACAACATAACTCACTGGAAATCCAAAATACTTCCACACTGGTGACTTCAATGACAGAGTAGACGGTTCAAGTTCTGTCGATGGGTCTCCTGCATCTGCAGTTGCCATGCTATCTTTTGACTGGCTGTAGCTAAGTTAGAGGAGGTTGACTGACTCGCAGCACTTCAACACGCGGGTTTTTTTCCGTGACATGGGGGCGTGGCAGCATCGACGATTCCATTTTTTAATTCGAAGTTCGAGATTGTGACTTAATTTCGATCGATTTCGATTTAAAATCGAAATCGTGACACCCTTAGAGTGTCCGTTTTTAACGCGTCTTGATCGGCGTACAGTCTGACATTAATGACAACTGAGATCCCACAGTGTGACATGGCTTACAGCGAGGATCATGTTCCTACAGTCTGATAAACAAACAATCATAAAGGACTATTATAAATCATACAGTGGGCACACGGCTTAAGGGTGCGTCTCAGTCAGCTCCCAAGTTCAGTAGTCAGCGCACTGATCAGGGAGTCATAAATCCCACAATGCACTGCAAACATGCTCAATCCACCTTTTTCCTATGCCCCATGACGCTTTGCTTGAATTAAGGGTGTAACTTCCGTTAACTAAACAATCAGTGAAGTGTTCACACTCTATGAACACAATATTATGCTTCTTTTTAAAAACTGGTCACAATGAGATGACATTATTCTACTCATCTTTCAACCATCGAACATTAAAAGGAAATTTAAAAGTGTAAAAGCATGTACAAAGTACATTCAACAGACCACGATTAACCCTAAATGCTCGATTCTTTCCGCAGCAATGTTACGGATGGGTTAAAAATCACTGTGTTAATATATATTTGTTTTATGTAACATGCGTTAAAAATGTTAATAATTTAATTATATTTATTTATTGTATTATTTATTTGGAACTTAAATATTGGCTGCAATCCAAAAGATCTATTTGAATTATTTGTGACCGGCACTAACAGCTTCACATTGTCAAATAGTATCAATGCCGCAAGGTGCGAAGATGCATTTTACATTTTATGCACCAACTACCCATTTACAGTAAATGGTACAGAAAAGTGCAAATATATATCATATTAATGCATTTGGTTATTGTCCATATTCATCTGAATTCTGCTGTTTTGTATGTCGCAGACAGAGCACTGTAGAAGATCTAATGCGGCTGGCGAAGCGCTTTGACTTCAACATGAGGCAAGATGAAGCTCAAGAACAGAGCTCGGATGAACCGGCTTCAAAAGAGCCGCTACATGGTGACCGATACACAACAGCTCACGTCAGTTCTGTCATGAAGAGTTCTGCTCTCGAACCCAATGACAAGAAGCCTGTTGATGAAAGGGGGCTTAATCAGGAGATGGAGGATGATCTTGATTTCCTTTTTGATGGGCCGACTCAACAGCTCAGCGGGCGTCTCAGTCAGGCGTCGAGTTTTCATACTCAGGTTGTCCCTGAGAGACATGTTTTGAAAGCCTGTGATTCACGAAAAGGTTCTTCGTTCTGTACGACAGCAAACAGTGACAGTCAGCAAGTTAACAATGCTGATGATTTTGATGACGATTGGAGCAGTGACGGTTTACTTGATGACTCGTTGCTATTGGAGATGACGCAAAACCCAGATCTGTTTGCTGCACCGCAGCACAGTTCAACGCAAAAACAAACTCACAAGAATCAAACTGCCTTAAGTGTAATGGCAAACAAATCGCAAGTAGCTAAAAAGGATGTTAAATGTGGCACGTTTCAAGGGCAAAAGGCGAAAAGCGAACAAACTTTTCAGCTGGACTCTCGGGTAGAGGCGAAGCCTTGTGGAGGGTTGCCTAGAATTGGAAATCACATTGAAAATAATTGCACAAATCAGGTTTTTCCCATGAGTAAAGCTTTGCCAGTTGCTCCAAGTTGCTTTAATGCCAATCAGAACCAGCAATCTCAGCACAAAACGCAAGTACGACAGCATCCGGTTATTCAGAATTCATCTGAACTCAACAGTGTTTCCTCAACGCGCCGTTTCCATTCAAACACCAAAGAAATGCTGCCGTCCACCGGCCTCAGTACTATAAAACCCCTTCATTCAAAGCCGCCCAGCACGCACCAAAATCCAAACTCTGGAGGTATCGAACAAAGAGAAGAGGATGCCGTTACAGGCCAAGATGGCTTCAGTGATGTCTTGGATGAAGACTTGGACTCCTTTTTTGCATCTGATGACATCTGGGATGACGGCGCCGAGGACGATGATCTGTTTTGTGAGGCGTGTGATAATCTTGAGGAGTTACCTCCTGGCAAGTCTGAAACCCCAGACACAAACGGCCAACACAACACCACAAAAGCAGCGCAAAACAAACCGTGTGAAACGGCTAGTCAGCAAAATGTATTTGCTCATCCTTGTCCACCCAAAAGGCCGGCTGTTAATGTTTCCATGTCCAGTGCATACACATCAGCGTCTCTGTACGGGCAGAAAGCTCATGCTGTGAATTCTGGGCCTACAGGACTCGGCTCTAATGTGTCATGTGACGCAATGAGACCATCTGGCCCCTTAAGTAATGGGCCGTATAAATTTAAACAGGTGAGCAGCTCCTCTCAGCAGGGTCACGAGAGGGGCGTGTTGGCCGTCCTCCAATCAGATGTGAGAATATCGGACAGTCACCAGTTCAAGAAGCCATACAGCGACTCGTTCAGGTCTGCGCCGGGCCTCGCCAAAGGTACAACATACTCTTTGTTTTATTGTGGTTGCAAGTGGTTTTTAGGGGTAAAATGTCTAAAATACGGTAAAAAAAAAAAAAAGCAAAAAATCTAGGTAGACTCAAGCACATTTTCCAGTTTTTCACTAAATGAGCACAAGGGATAATCCCGATGCACGGTTATATGAAAATTTTGGCCGATATAATTATTTGTATTTGAAAGTCGATAACTCATATATTGGCTGATAAATCCTTTTAAAATGGCTGTTAAATAATTAAACAGAAATGTAATATTTATTTAATCAAATACCCCTGTTGGTGTTATATTCACTTACTCATATTGCTTATTCCGTGTGTGTGTCTGTGTTTTCTGTAGACGTGTGTAAGTCTGAAGCCGCGAGGTGCAGTGATGCTGAGATCGAGAGGAAGAAGAAGCAGGCTATGGAGAGGCGGAGACTCAAGATGCTGGCCAATCAGAACCTCAGAGCTCCTGTCTGATACAGCGTTACTATGGAGATGTACAACAAAACAGGCCCGCAGAGGTCTATGTCTATATAAAGAGTTACACTGTTTCGACATCACAACTAAAGCTGTTCCCATTATAAGCAACAAATCTGTGCAGTTTCATGGATCTAATTGTCCTGCATCATGCCACTTTGTTTGTGGGCAAAATGTTACCAAAACTGTTGGAACAATGGCTTTTGTTGCTTTAAGGGCCATTCTTATGTGTAGAACATTAAAATGCTGATCTAAGGTCATATGGTTTGCCATTAACGTTTCCGTTTGGGCATCGAGAGACCCTAGATAAACACTTTTTTTTGATAAACATGTATAATGACGTTCTCAATGGATCCCCATTGGTTTCTAGAAAATCAGGAGGAGCTGCCCTTTTCACTTCAGTCACTTTTATGCATTTCTAAGTAAATTGTATAATAAATATTTCCTTCAATCTTTATTTTAAACTTTTAATTTTCACAATGCTTAAAGTAAATCACTCTTGTTCAGTTTATAATGAAGAAGAAATTTTTAAAAATGTTGGTTGGTTGATTTGACTGTTTTTGTCAATGTATGAGTCTTTGTGCTAAAATAAGAAGCCCAGAATAATAAAGTGACTTCAAGTAAGTGATGAACAGTATTTATTGAGTTGGAACTGTCATTGTAATCAAGGGAATATTAAATAATTTACAAATGTCCTGTATTTCATCTATATGCTTCGTTTCAGAGCGACACTTCATCATAATTAATCTATTTCAGGTTCTCCCAGTCATTTTGAACATTCATTTTGGAAATTTGGGTTTTAAAAACCTGTGACTGGTTGCATAAACTGCTAAGACTAGTCTTACAAGTCATCCAAAAATGTTTTCTTTAAGACTTCATAACTTTAAGTTCCTTACATAAACACGAAGATTGGTCTAATTTGATACTGAAACGTAAGACCGATTAGCCCCAACTAACTGCAAGTTGGTCATATTAGTTCTTAAGACACAGTCATATCATGATGGCTCTTTATGAAACTGGTCCCCGGTCAAGTCATAGAAATAAAGTCTTCTGAACGATTCATTCAGCTAATGTGACTACATGATTTTTAAACATCCTTATCCTGTTATTTGCATTTTCAGATTGCCTATCTGACCAATACCTTGTACTACTTAAAGGTAAGTAGGCAATTTGGGAAATGCTAGCAATAGCAAGCTAGCTTTGAGAGCATGAGATCCCACCCTCCCTTCAGAGCGTCTCCAAAGCCACGCCTCCTTCAAAACGTAAACGCGCACAGCCAGAGCAGAGTCTGCAAAGTGTTAAAGGGGTCATATAATGCCATTTTTGTACAAGCTAGTATGATTCTTTAGGGTCTAAATTAAAAGTTTGTAATATACTTTAATTACAAATTCTCATTAGTATTGTAAGAAAACACTTATTTTACTTAAACAGCTCTGTTTTCAGCACGCCGTTTCAGTGGATATGACTTTAAATGATAATGAGCTTTGCTCACCCCGCCTCTCTGTTCTGTGCGTACATCGTTTGTAACTTCATAACACAATAACCATAACGCGTTGTTCATTATAAACGTGGGATTATGAATTATATTGAGAACATCATTCATAGAAAACATGCCGTAATGTACCCTAAGTGTAAACCTTAGACGCATTCATTGTGAAGCGTGCAGTGCAGCTAGCGATTTGCAAAGATTAATATAAATATTAATATAAAGTTTAATAAATCGTTACACTCACTTCAGTTGTTCTAGAGGTTCAGCAGGAACACGAATATCTGGTACCGATCCTTTAATCATGAGCTGCTTCTTAGCAAAACCAGCTCATACTGACCCTCGTTTATAAAGCAGTCTGGTGAGAAATGATTTGCGCAAACATGAAAGCATTGACGTTGCTCGTGGGGAATATTCCCTTCGAAAACAAACTCAGCCACTGCGTCTTCAGCGGTTCGGCCTTAGGAACATTAAAATGACTGCTGTGTTCGTTATTACACCCAAGAACAGAACACCACAATCGCTTAGACGCCATTCTGCTCATAGACAGTGCTCCAGCATATCAACAATGACCGCGCCGGTCCGCGCAGACTATGATTGACAGCTCTCACGAGCGAGGGCGGGTCTGTGTTGAAACGCTGCTGTTAATCAACACTCGTGGGAGGGGCTTCTGAGCGTGTGACGTCACACGCTCGAACGGCTCGATTTGAGACAGGGGAAAACATATAAGGAGATTAAAACAAAAACACTGGATGGATTTTTATCATTTTATGATGGTTGTGTACAGGCACTGCCAACACACATTTCAGTACAATCAACTTGTAAAAGTGCATGTACCATTATATGACCCTTTAAACTACCTCATGTCTCAAAGCAAATAACATTACAATAATAATGAACGTAAACAACTTAAGCCTAGTTCACACTACATGATTTTAAGCCCGATTTGCAAATCGTTGAGCTCGCCGACAGGTCAGGGTGTTATCGCGTGCAAATCGCTGGGGACTAGCGGGCGATGAACGCTCGCCAATCTGTTAGTATGAAAGAGCCAACAACGCATCAAAGACGCTCGCAGACGCCTTGCCGAGCCCAGAAAAATATCTAGCATGCTAGATATCCAGCGCTGTCGCACGACTCAACCTCACGTGATGTTTTGAGCAACAGCCAATCAGAGCAAGGCATTGCGTGTTGTGTTCTTCGTCTTCTTCGCTGGGTATTGGCGCGCGAGCTGTTTCGTGTAATTTCCGGTTCGTTTTATCGCGTGATTTTTCGTGACAAAACGTGGTTTGTAGTCAAGATAGAATCGTTGGGTGACAGAGTTGTTGTCAACTCGTGTAGTGCGTTACCTCCTGTTGCGGATCAATCAAGTTGTGTCGTGTGGTGTGAACAGCTCAAGAACTTGAACACTGCTGATTTCACAGAGAGCAAGTCATGTAGTGTGAACCGCACAGTTCAGCCCGATGTTTTAAAATCACGTAGTGTGAACTAGGCTTTACAGAGCTCAGTTGTACCACCTGACTGCTGCAGATTCAGTTTGACATTGATAGTGTTGACATTGAAACGCTTAAACACGAGTCTGAAGACGTGAACAGCTCCGGGTAGAAAGTCACGGGTTGCCATCTCTTAATCACGGTAACAACATGGCTTGAAACACATTAGTTTTGGTTCAGGAGGAACTGTAAAACGCGGCTGCTGTTAGTTTGCGGCGCTCGGTGACTGACGTCTGTCTAAATAGCCTTACAGAACGCGCTGATGAAGTGTGATGTCTGTGTAAATACATGTTGACAGGCAGGTAGGACATTGTATCGTAATGATTGGATGAACATTTTGGTGTCCTGAGACTTCCACAGAAGATATATGTGCATGTTTTAATATTTAGACCACTTTTATTATTGATTGTGTGAAGAGTGTTTCGACCAGTACAACAAAAAGTGTTTATTGCCTACCGTGCCTTTAAGCACAAACGTGCAGGTAAAGGGGTGTAAGAGTGTGTAAGGCCTCTCAGGCGGGCTGTTTCTCATCATTAGCTGTCCTCGGACACCTGCGGCACACATGAGTGCTCCTGAAAGTCGAGTCTTGTTATCAGCCTGCCGGTGTGTAACTGTAGCTAGCGCACAGAACTATGAAAAGCCCCCGCGGCCAGGGATGCGGTTTCACCTGACCAGCCGAGCGTCCAAGCACTTACCTGGACCGTGTGTTGACTGAACTCTGATGAGGACAGCATGAATGGGGCCTTCTGGTGAGCTTCATGTCGTACATGTGGAGATTAGTGTGTGTTTTGATATGGGGCTGACCTGAGGATTACATGGCTGAAGTCAAAGGTCTACATCTGTGCTTCATTAACCACTAGTTCCCAAACAAGTACACACAACACATTAGGTTGATGTGACTGCTATTAAAGCTGAAAAATGTCTCAATTTACACCAGTTCGGTAGCTTGACACATTGTTGAGGCAGAACGTGTCTGGCGTAAAGTGGGCTTTAGAATTAGGCCTACATCGTCATGGTGTCGTCATTACAATTATGATTCCCAAGCCTGAAGGAAATCAACAATGACTTACATCTTTTGTCTGACTGGAGAATTTTGATTTGTGAGAGTAAGCTTTAATCAATAATAAATTATTGGGAGAAGTCATGGACATTCATTGGTCAGAAAGTCTGGGAACTTTGATGACAGTTTGTAATTTATTTATAAGTCAATTGTCTAACTACTAACAGCTTTATATATATTTTTTTACTATACTTATTTTGGATATATTCATATTTAAATATATTAAATTAATAGAAATATAAATTAATAATTAATATATTAAATTAATAATTAATATAAAAAAATATTTTTTTGGATATATTCATATTTAAATATATTAAATTAATACCATAACTTGTTTTATGTTTAACATTATAGAAATTATATTCATTGTTTTATTTATCATGTTAATTATAAAATAGGATATGAATGAAATTCTAATATATATATATATATATATATATATATATATATATATATATATATATATATGTATGTATATAATTTATTTACACACACACACACACACACACACACACACACACACACACACACACACACACACACACACACATATATATATAGGCCTACATGAATATTTATGTCATACATCTTTCCAGCATAGGAAATAAAGAAAGTGTGAGTAATAACACTCATATATTTTTCTTATATCTCATAATTTGCTTGAATGTCATTGTAATGTCTGGTTAGTTAGTGAATCAGTTTAATGAGTAGGTTCATTTTCAAAGCATCTATATCAACGCGGTTCACAAAATCAGTCCGACTCTGAATGGTTTATAGTGAATCGGTATGAATTTGAAATGTCTTAAAACACAAATTCACTGGTCAAATGTGTGGGAGCCCATAGGAATACATGCAAATTCTGTGTAAGAGACTGCACCATTTATTCCCGTATTGCATTTTGTTGCTCCATTTAGAGCCTGTCTGGCCTTCCCTCGCCAGCACATGGAGACGGAGAGCAGGTTTAAACTGAAGCAACAGGATCCTCACTGTCCTTTTGTCTGCTCGATAAACATGCTTATCAGCAGCCTGTGTTCAGGAATAAAGTCACCCGAGAATACACCTGAACTCCAGATGAACCCGCTCTCCTCTCTGCTTTACTCCGATTCTCTCAGTTTCATCAATTATTCTCCTTCCCAATCAGTACGGACACCGATACAAAAATATCGCTCGCTGTCCCAGTCGCCGGGCCTGATAAATGCCAACCTGTGAGGCCAAGACTATTGTCCTACTGGGGCACAGATTCTGGAAGTGGATCAGTGTCCTCTGGTGTGTGTATGCATGTGTGTGGGAAACACCAGTCTGTCTGTCTCTCTCTCTCTCTCTCTCTCTCTCTCTCTCTCTCTCTCTCTCTCTCTCTCTCTCTCTCT